CAAATCAGGAATGTCAGTCAAACCTGCTTTTCAATCTGACAGACAACACAAAAAGTTATGGGTAGATCAAAGAACCGAGTTTTATAACAAAAATATGAAATCTCTTGGATTTGAAATTTACAGTACATATAACGAAGGTAAAGCCATAGTTATTTAGAGATTTTATAGAACTCTGAAAAATAAATTATTCAAAAAGTTCACAGAATTGATTTCCCAAGAATGGCTTAAAATATTACCAATTGTTGTTGATGAATGTAATAACAAAATCCTAACACGACCAGATACTACCATGAACTTTCAATTAATACGATGGGCAAAAGATCTGGGTGTGGAGCTTTTTTTCTATTGTATGCGTGATGAAATATCATCACTAAAAAATCACAAAAAGTATAACTAATATCCAAACTTCAGATAAAAAAGGCGTTCATCATTCTGCTTTATTCAAATGTATTTTTTTGATTCATATGGATTAGATCCAACTAAAGAAATAATTGATTTGAATTATCATCCAATAAAATGGTCTACTTTTCAAATTCAAAAACAAGGAGATAAATTTTGTGGTCAACTATCTCTTTGAGTTTTATATAAATTAAGTTTAGGCGAACCATTTGAACAAATTATTATAAATCTAGTTTAAAAAAATGGCAAATAAGTTTGGTTTAGGACAATTAACCAATCCTTCTCCTACATTATCGATCAATACTTTCCAACCATATTTTGTGGATGTGATTGGAGACACACTTTAAGGTGATATAGATCTGAACAATTATAACATAACTAATTTAAAATTTCCTCAACACAAAAAAGACTCAATAAATAAAGGTCATTTAATCCAAGCAACTAAAAGTATAAATCACACAATATCTGTATTAGATAAAGATAGTAAAAGTCAATTAGAAAACTATCAAAAACTTTTAGATGATAATAAAAAAAAATATAGAAGCTTATCGACAATAATTGGTGAATGTAGGAAATAAAACTCAGTTACAAAATCTAAGTTCATTAATATCTAATTGGGGTTCTTACATATTCATTTCCATACGTAACAAATTGTTTTATTTGTTAAAAACCCAATGTATGACACTCTACAGATTAATTGAACTTGGCTTGAAAACACACAATTTGGCTTCAGCTGTGATGACGAGCAGTAAATAGTCCCCTCGAAAATTGATAATATTTTGAAAAGATATGATGGATCTGTGTTAATTTGACATTTATTTGCCAGATAATTAAAGTTAATTTTATAGCAATAATTAACTTCTATCTTTTGTCAATAATCAATCAAGTTCTCAAAATGGCGAAAGAATATATGGTCAAATGTGCAAGACGTAACGTAAACAAAGCGAAACACTGTCTTGTAAAAATTCAATTTGAGGTGGGAAAATAAGCTTTTTTCTCAAGGTAATTATATGTGGAGGAAGCGTGAGAAACCATTTTATTATATAAAGTTATTTTCAGTTCATTTCAAATATATCTTGAAAGGTGGGATGCATTTTTCTGCCATTTTATTGAGTGGGTCAAACAGCTGACGTCCGCCATTTTGTGTCGGCCATTAGATATGTCTGAAGAAAACGACAGATAGCTGGAATAACGATGGTCAATATCAGAAAGTAAGATTGAGATATTGTAGGTAGGTGGGTAGATGACAAGTTAACGTTCGCTTCCAGCAGATGCCGATATCGCAAACTAAGTTCAAATTGGATGATTCTGTGTTGTTGGTTTGGTTGTTGATAATTCGTTAGATCTGGTCGAGTCGAATGACATGGCGGTGAAACTCGGCCCTGGATGGTGTGGCGTGAGTTACTCGGTCTCTTTCATTCTTCCAAACTCGTTCTGATCATGGTATTTCTTGTTGATTGGTAGTCGAATGGTAGTCATTGGTTTGGTTTGGTTTGGTTAGATTATCTGTTATCTGTTGGAGAACTAGAAGACCTGAAAAAAAAAAAGGAAAAATAAGGAAGTGAGAAAAAAAATAAAAGGGGGGAAAAGCTTTCAACAAAAGGGGGAAAGATGTTCTCTGATGTTTCTGCAATGAAACTTGTTAAATTGATTGGATATTGTAAAAAGTGTTAGGAAACTTTGAGTATAAAAACTTAGCCTATCTGTTCAAGACAGATTTGGTTATAAAATGGAAGACTAGTTCCATTAGCGTATACCAGTGGTCCGTGGGTGGAGCCACAACATTCTGTATGGTGAGTGGTATGCCGTTGGTTTCCAGGTACTCTGTCAGTGGCTTACGAGCGGGTTTCATTTCAGTGCATTGAATGAGGACATGCGACCTTGTGGCAACGTGGCCACAGCGACATTTAATGATGTTGAACTGATGGTCTCGTAGTACGTTGTTGGTTCAGTGTCTGGTTGCCACTTTGCAGATGGCTACAGATGGATGGTTTGGATCAATCTGGTATCTTGCGGTGTCGAGGTTCTGTAACATGTCGGCCCATTTCTGGTTGATCCTAGAAGATACGATACTGCAGAATTCCGAATAGGAGTATTCTACAGGCCCGAAATCCTCCAGACTCAGACTTTCCTTGGCACAACGGTCTGCTTGATCATTGCCAGGAATGGAGACGTGCGATGGAACCCATACTAATTCAATTAGGTGGTCGTTGTTGGTTTGGTAGTTGTGGACGAGATATTGTAGTTTTTTGTTCAAAGATATAGTTGCAAAGCTTTTAACTTTGTGTAAGCACTTTATTTTAGATATATTGTGTAGCTAGTAAACCTCTCATTTTGACTTTTGAGTTCATTGAGTGCATGTAGTAATTTAAAGGACATTGATTAAATTTCTAACTACAGTTCTAACTGTTCCTGGCATCACACGCAATGTCTTTTTGATTGTTTTGCATTCCCCCATCTCCTAAATCTGCAATCCATCCTGATGATGAATTGTAGTCTTTTGAATAAAGTAGGGTTTTCAACATGGTGTCAAATTCACCTGGGTGTTTAATGGTTTCAATTGTATTTGAACTTGCTTCTAAAACCATTAGGCTGAATAACGAGGGGAAAAAATTGTAACGTTCTGTTGTGGGATTCTGTTTTGGTGGGCAGTTCCATATTTAATATTAATATCACAACGGAAATAAGCGTTAGACAGAAGTAGCCAATTGGATAAAGAATTGATTTCAAACGTTACCCTTCCTCCATCGTTTATCTGGGATTTAGAACCAACGGTTGGAGATATGTTTATGTAATCCTCCTTTTTTTTGTTAAATCTATACTCAATAGATTCATATAGATTATATATCGATTCCAGTTTAACTTTATTTGCCATTTTTGATAACAAAAATTTAACCCAAAATTTTAAACCCATCTCCTTTTTTGGTGGACAGTGTTTGGAATGGTATGTGACCTAAAGAATAAACGGCCTTGGCGCCTGATGAAATGAGGTCCTTGTTTTTTTGTAACAAAAGTCGCCACTTTTGGTATAAGAGACGCCAACGCAGGTAAAAACCCATCCCCACTGTAAGTAAAATTATGCTTTTCGTGTTTAAGAATAACTCCCATATTTTTAATACAGAAGATTTAACATAAAATAAATGCTTTTATTAAACTGAATTACAAATATTTGAATCAATAAATAAATCTATCAAGCTAAATATTTGAATCAATAAAAAACTGTATACATTAAACCATTACGTGATGTTGTCAAGGTAAACATAAATGATGTTAAACTGTTGCTTAGGAGAGCTCTGGCTGTAGCCCCACTTGGTTACGAATAAACATTAAACCGTTGACTAGCAGGCTCTGGCAGTAGCCCTACTTGGTTATGAATAGTCACATAGAGTAGTCGTGGTAAACATTTGAATCACTCCATTTTATGTTATACTCTGTAATAATTGTAATGATAAATCAACACTGTCTAGGTTGCAGGTGCAAACTAGTAATTGCCACGTAACTAGTAAAATTTTAATCAATAATCATTTTCCTCATTACTTTGCTGAACTGAAAAGAAAGAATAATATTTGTCAAATATTACATTTATATCTGTCATGTATTGACTCACGATGTATTTTACAGTGAATAGGGTTATATACACTCCACTAACTATTCACACGACAAGCATTCTCCAATAATGTAGTATATCATTACATTTACCAAAACAATACAAACTGTCGATAAAAATCAATATTACATACCCGTCTCTGAATAATCCTCTTCTATGTTGGAAATAATATGTGTTAAGTCTGACTTTACGCTGGGTGATACCATACAGTACTTGTCTCCATGAGCTAATGACTAAAATGGCGACATGTATCTCGTGTTCAAACAAAATCAATAATGAATTAACGCAACTAAGTATAGACAAAAAGAGATGGGATGATAAAGGCTGATAGAAATCCCAGAAGCAAAGAAGAAGTTTGATTGGATGCAATAAAAATAGAATCTTACTTTCACTTTGCGGAGCTTCAGTTGTAATGTTGATGGTATATTCAGCTGTCGTACCCATTTAACATGAATTCAATAATAATTCATATAATTCACATAAATGTTCATAATAAGTAGTTGAAATTTTCCGCATGAAATTCTCATTATTCATAGAATGAATTTTTATATCCCATTAAATTATAATCATTAAAGATATGTTCTCCCATTGAATTGATAATAATAAAGTTTTGTTCGCCTGGCGATTTATAGGGGTATGGAGCGAAATGGGGGTAGTTTCTCATCTGCTAGTGTGTTTACAGATTTACTGCAACTATGATGTGAAGAGTAAATCTGTAAACACTTATACTACTCATTGCCCTATTGTATTCGGTGTGATCATTTATATTGATGAAAATTTAGTGAAGTTCTAATACAATGATTTTTCAATGAAGGACTTGTAGATTATCGCTATTGATTAAAAAATAAATTTGGAATAAATATAATAAATGTATTATGAAGATATTTAAAATATAGAAATTCATGTTAAATTCATTAAAGACTGTTTTAATTTCTGACAGCTTGTAGTGGGCGTATGTTACCTTGCCTGGCAAGCTATCTTATAATTTTAACAGAGAAGTAAAGAATGGAGAAGTGAGGAAAGTCTGTTCCAATCTGGTGAAAAAGTTTGTCCTCTCAATGCAAAGGTATGCCTCATAATTTAGTGATTACTTCAGGGCCAACAATATATGGTATTTCAATACATTCACGTACAGAACATATTATAGATTCAATAGGCATCATTTCTCAAAAAATAGAAAAACGCAAAGATATTTCAGATTTTCCTTGGTAGTTGCTAAGTAACATTTCAGCATTCTTCTAATGGTAGGAATCCAATATGGCTTCATAAAATGATGATCATTCAAAAACCCAGACTGAAGATGCAGTTGGTCCAAAGGTTTTAAATGTTTACCCATGTGTTGTACTATAGAGTTTCCACATTATTTGGATCAACTAAAAATGGACCAGTAAAAAACTTTGTGAAATGGTTGTGTGTCTTCTATTTTTATTGAAAAATTTTGTAAACCTTTGGACCCACTGCATTATCATTAGCCTAGGCTATTGAAAAATTATCATTTTATGAAGCCATATTGGATTTCTACAATTTCTATACAATCTTGATGAAACCTGCTAACATTGTATATATTTATGAGATCTCGGTCAAATTCGACATTGGTAATGCACTGTTCCATAGCTATTGCCCTTGACTTAGTACAAAAGCTTCAAATTTGGCTTGTATGTATGATAGAGGCTACAGTTTTTATCTAACCCTGATGAAACTCAGTATGATGAGTTCTCGGTCAAGCTCGAAATTGGTAATAGCCAGATGAACAGTTTCAGAGTTATCGCCCTTGAATCATTAAAAAAAATGTCAAATAAGATAGAGACTACAGTTTTAAAACAATCTTTATGAACTTGGTATGCATTTATACATTGATGAAATCTGGATCAAGTTCGAAATTTGTAATAATTGGATGAACGGGTTGAGAGTTATTGCCATTGTGTGTACATCAATGATACCTTGTTCATGTTTGTATTAGATCATTAATTGATGAAATGTTTTTGAGGCTTTGCCTTGACTTACAAATATTCGCAAATTTCTAACCTGTGACCTATTAAACCTAGAGTTTGTGTTCAAAGCTTAGTTGTGTCAGCTTATAGTTCAAAAAAAAAGGAACAGGTTTTAGAATTTCCATTTTTCAATTTTCAAATTTTGACCTTTGTTGACCTATATCTTTTGACCTGTATGACGTAGAAACTTAAAATTTGGAACATAACATAACATTTTGAATATCACAAAACCGATGTCAAAACAAATGAGGTGGGCGTAACACATTCGGGTTAAATTACTCATTATTGACATTTTTGGGCTGGGACAGAAAAAAATAGGAACAGGTTTTGGAAATTCAATATTTTCAATTTTTTGACCCTGACCTTTGTTGACCTTGACATTTGTAGGATCAAAGGTCATTGCCATTGGCTATCTATTTGTACTTTTATATTTGCTGTCCTATGTCTGTAAGAATGTGTGGGGCAAGGAATGAATAAAAGAACGACGAGTTGTGTTCAACTTTAATGATGTATTCCTCAACACACATGTCATATATAAAGCGGGGCTTACAAATTACAAATCATGGCTTAGGCGTAGTATTAACGGGAGATAACTCTTTAATCGTTAATACTTAATTGATAATGTTACAATGTCAACTTCCAGTTTTATAGCCGTATACAATTGAAACTTGATGACTTAATATCTTGTGATCTTGCTCTTTTTTGGCATTCTCCTTTACCAGATCAAAGGTCACCGACCTGCTATATACTTTCATGTGAAGTCTGGCGTCTACTTCCAGTATTACAATCTTCTGAAAATGAAAACTTCTTAACTTTAGACTGTTCTTTCACTAAACCTAATGCAACAATTGAAAATCTTAATCCCCGTTTTAACCAAATATCTCATATCACATTTCCTTGTAAATGGACTAGAATCTACAGCTTTTAACAGAATTTGGTAAAAATAAGTATGATTTAAGGGACATTCTGATGTTTTCCAAAAACTCTTACCACAGGATTACTGTCATTGCAATTGTTACAATTTTGAAAGTTATATTTACATCAAAATTGGTCAAAACTGAAGAAAATATAGCATTTTCTATACATGTGAGAGTTGGTTTTCGGAAAAACTCAAAATTAAATAAATATGTTTCAGTTTTGGCTATGGATAGACCAACATGGGTACCGACAATAAAAACAAAATAAATACAAAATTATAGTCCTAAAGGCATGCAATTAACATTTGCAGGAAAATGTATGTTAATTTTAAATTGAAACTTTTTGATTTTTCTGGAGCATTTCGAATCAATGACTTATGATAGGTGTTCTTTTTTTACATAATGATTTAAATTATAAAAATAAGGCGAAGAAAATGGTGAGAAAGAGCGGGAAAAGGCAAAAGACAAAACAGTTGCGGCGACCATCCGGGACTGGGGATACGAATAAGGACAGACTGACGTAATGGGGGGGGACAAACTATCGAGGCTGAATTCAAAATGCGTCAACTCAGTGTAGGTGCCATAGTCGCAAGCCCACATGCACTCACATTAATTTGTTCAAAAATGCATAAAAATCATATTTTTGAATTTGCTAAATAAAGTTGGTTTACCATTTTGGATACCATTTTGCTACCTCCACTGGGTAACAAACGAGAAAGCATGGGAAAAGGCGAGGAAAATGGGAGAAAGCGGGAAAAGTACTAGAGAACAAAAGACGTAGAAAAAAGATTGAAAAGGCTACAAGTTGAGGATAAAAAAGCAGGAAAAACATAAAAAAATCAGCAAAGGGGCTAAAAAGTCAGGACCAGTCTATTGTTACTCTTAATTAGTACTCATAATTATTTCTCAATTGATCCTATGAAACAAGATTACATCCGCCATACTCAATTCACTCCTATAATTGATAGAGGCTAAAGGGGAAACACTGTGTTCCATGAAACGCCATTATTGTTTATGCCCACTTAGAACTCTCCAAGACAGCAGAAGATGTTAGTATTTGGTCTCAGTGAAACGTCATTGTATGTCCTATCTAGTTTATTATAAGATGTCTATGATCTTTATCAAGATTGGTTGTATGATTTTGAGTAATATGCTGTAAGTTTGGTCCATTTTTAATTTATCTGCGTAGGTACATTATAACATTGGTAAACTGAATGCTGATAAAGGTAATAATACACAGGCAATCTACAGATACAGACTAGCTATCAAGTAAGTACCATTACTATTCTTTGCTTCAAAAGCATCTGTGGCAAGTTAAGATAAATCATTGTTGATTCATACTGATTCATGTTAGCAATACTTTCTTAACAAAACTGTTCTCTTAGAACATGATAGGAGTTGTGGTGATTCAATGAGTTAGCAGTGGGGCTGACATAGAAAAACGTGTCTAATGGCTCATTTTCGACAATAAATTGAAAATCTATGAGCTACAGGTTGTACTCATCCAAGATAGCTCCAGTGAGCAAGAAAAAGAGCTGGAAAACTTTATAACATGTCTTCATTAGCTTGGTCAGGTGCAGAAAAGTAGGATGTAAAACTCTATTCATTTTTGTACGTCCACATTATAATTTGGTTGTATATTGTATCTGTCTGTTGGTCTGTCAATCCACAATTGACTTGTGAACTCAATAGAGACTACAGTTTTTATTTATCTGATTTTTATGGAATTTCGTATGATCATGTATATTGATGAGATCTTAGACAAGTTTGAATATGACTATCTTTCAATGAACTGTTTTTGAGTTGTTGCCCTTGATTTAGGAAAAAGTATCATAATTTGTTTCATTTATGATGATGACAAGTTTGAATTTGGCGATCTTTTGATAATGGTTTTTTAGCTATTGCCCTTGAGTTAGGAAACATGCTTCAAAATTTGTTAGTGAATACAACAGAGACTACAGTTTTATCTGATTTAAATGAAATTTGGTGCGATCATTTATAATGAATAGATCTTGGTCAAGTTCAAAATTGATGAGTGATCGATGAACTGAATTTGAGTTATTGCCCTTGGCTTAATAAAAAGGTATCAAAATTTGTTGGCTGGTGAATGCGATAGAGGTGACAGTTTATGTCAGAATTCTATGAAATTTTGTGTGTTTCATTAAATCAACAATATCTTTGTCAAATTAGATTTTTGATTGATTTGACACATATTAGCCACCATCCTTGATATACTGAAAATTTATCAGGGAAGTGGGCGTATGTTACAAGGCAACCACTTGTCATTTCTTATGATATTGTGATAGCCTATCTGTGCAAACCAAGTAAAGCACACAGAAGTCATATTTCTAACTTGGTTATTTTTAGATTAAGTCCAGACTATGATCAAGCTATGAATAATTTAGCCAATATATTGAAAGATAAAGGAGAATTAGTAGAAGCTGAGGACTTGCTGACTAAAGCTGTCACTATCAGGTTGGTTTTACAGCATGAATTTTTTACATAGTTTAAACTAAAAATGTAGTCAAGTTATTTTTAGTAAACCTATTTTTAGTAATCAGTTTGATGACATCATAAAACAACACCCTGATCATTTGAGCTACAACCCTTTCCACTGGTATACATGGAGGAACAATGCCTTAACTCTTCATAGGGATACTGAGATACAGTCTAATTAAAATTACACCAAACTTTCGTTTTGTTTTTTTATCATTAGACCAGTCTTGAACATTCATCAAATTAACCTCATGACCTAACCCGCTTTAACCAATCAAATTTATGCCTTCCTCGGTATTGGCGCTTTGTGACGTGATCAAAAGGTGTATTTTAAGGAGAAATAGACTTGTCTATCAAGTCCACTTAAAGGGAAAATAGCAATATGCCTTTTCATTGGATGTTCTGAATTGACCCAATTGAATTTGTTTGAAGCAAACGTCATCAGGTATGGTCAAATGGGTAATCCGGTCATTGGACACTACTGTTAAGTGGCTAAACTAAAAATAAAATTTGGGTCTAATTTTAATTAGACTGACTGAGATAACAGTTCCCTGACACCAATCTCAGTAACTATTGTTTAGAAACACAAAGATTGGTAGAGTAAAATAGTTTCTGGGTTTGGAATCAAAAATTACATGAAAATATTAACAATGTGCACTCGATGATCCAAAGTGACAAACTCAGACTGGTTCCAGGTAATCCAGAAAAGACTATTCTACTGTAATACATTAACCTTTCAATAATTACATACTATGAAATGGATGGGTTGTTCTGGTCTATTTTAAACTACAGACAACGGCCAGGAAACTGAAATGCTGCAAAGTTGAAGCTGTAAATGTCCTCAAAATAGGCTAGGAAACCTATTTAAAACCCTATAATGTTTTAATTGCCCTCGTTGTGGTATCTGTTTCAGACCTGAGTTTGCTGCCGCATGGATGAATCTGGGTATAGTTCAAGCACAACTAAAGAAGATTGGTTTAGCAGAAAAGAGTTATTTACAAGCTTTGCGACATCGCAGAAAATATCCAGATTGTTATTATAACCTGGGAAATCTGGTAATTATTTATATACTTGTTACTGTTGATATATATTAGTTTTCGGGGAGGGGAGGGTTTGATGCTCACAAATGTACAGGCCTAGGGTGGAACAAATACTATATTGAGAAATTGGGATAAAGGGTCTGGGTCTGGATTCTGGATTTTCTTCTGTTCTGATCTGAAATTAGAAAAAAAATCGAATTTCTCTTGAAGACACTTATAGTGGGAATGAACCATCTTGCTATATTCAATGTCTCAATCCAATAGGCTTCCCTAGACTGACATAATTTGGTAGATTCATCTTCAATTCAAGTCAATTTCTATACGCTCAATTGGGATTAGGGTGAGATCGTTGAAAGGATAAGAAACAGACTTGTCTTTCTTTAAAACAAGTGCGTAAATGATTCTTAGTTTCTCCTGCATATTGTTTGGGGCATTTCTTACATGAAATTAAATATATTACATTCGAATGTTCACATGTTAGATGTTTCTGGATCGGGTACCTTTTATTCGTAGAGTTGCTTGCAAAATAATGAGTTTCTGATATAAAGGGACATGTTTTGCAACTACTTGAGCACTCCTTAAACCTAGGGCCTTATTCTCGAAAACTTAAATCCCTTAAAATCAGTTGTAAGTTAAAATTTTAACTTAAGGTAAGCAAAGTGGTATTCTCTAAACCTATTTACAACGTGATTTTAACTTAAAATGATTTTAACTTAAAACACCATTTATCCTGTTTTAAACTAAAATCGAAACAAAATGGCGGCCAAACAAGTGATGATCCTTTTACAAATATTACCTATGTTCACAAATTAATAAGTTTTGGTGTTTAGGAATTGGCCTTAATTGCGCCCATTATTGATATTATATCCTGGTCAAGAAATTGACTGCTAACATGAGGAGCTGTATAGGAGATAGTCTCGGCCTAGTTGACAAGGCATAGATATTTGGACAAAAGATCTAAATACATTTTTTTAATTGCAGTTGTTTGTTTTCCAAATATTTTTTTTTTTCGAATTCTGCTGCCAGTGACAAGCCTAAACTACGCATGCCACCTACTCACTTCTTTCAATTTCCTTGTAAAACTCATGAAACTAAATTTCATGAATATAATTTAGCGCACATTTTTCGAACCGGAAATGACGTAGGGCGAAAATGTTTTCTTTCTAATTAACAGCTCTAATTTCGATATGATTTTGATCGGACTTTTTAAGTTAACTGCTTTGAACTGAGTTCTACAGGTTAGCAATTCACAAATTTTAGAATTTTGACTTTGTCGCTGACTTTTTGATTTTCAAAATTTGAGTTTTTTTTTACAATTTAATTTCATTCGATCTGAAAATTTACAGGTAGATAGACATTTTGATTGCAAAGTAAAATAAATTTTCATATTTTCGATATCATTTCTTGTTTTGAACTGAAGTCTATTTGGCCGCCTTTTCATGTAGCCGTCGATTCAAGCTGTCAAATTAGCTGCCTTTTGATAGCCGCTGATTCAAAATAGTGATATTTACTCGCCCAAATCACTACCATGGATCTACACTTATAGACATTTTGCAGCTCAAATTACGACTCATCGAACAAAATTTTCAATGTTGAGTCTTGTATGTTTCAAAATGGAATTAAATGAGCTTTCATAAAATGTCTGGCACATTCATATTAAAGGTTATCCACCCCACCCCAAAATATATACAGTTCCCGACTTTTTTTTTCAAAACCTTCACCTCTAAACAATTTCAGGCTACAAATACGGCCCATTGTACAAAATTCTCGATATTGAGACTTGTATATTTCACCTCGGTCTGGCGGTCGGTCCGTCCGTCCGTCCATCAACATTTGCTTGTAAACCCTCTAAAAACTAGATTTTTTGATGGAATCAAATGAAATTCGGTATGTGTATATATATTCATAAAACGAAGATCAAGTTCGAATTTGAGCTATTTTCAATTTTAGAAGCAGAGTTATTGCCCATGCCCCAAAATCTTGAATATGCTCTTAGTTTTCAACCGATTTTGATGAAACGTAAAATGGATGTTATTGGACCTAAATCGAAAGGTTTGAGAAAGTTAAGCTTACTTCTGATTAAATTTAAGGCTTTTTCTAGATTTAGGCCTCTTACGTCTGTTTTGAGGAGTTATCCCCCTTTAACCTCTATACAGTAAGTGCTTCAAGTAATCAACATCAATTGCTCGTAAACACTCTAAAAACTAGAGTGTTTGAAGGAATCAAATGAAATTCGGTATGTGTATTCATAAAACGAAGATCAAGTTCGAATTTAAGCTATTTTCGACCGTTATTGCCCTGGAAGTAACAGGTCCACCACCATATTGATATGACTTTTGTGAAACGAAAAATTGGGCCTTAGGGGTAATCAGATGTATGTGATGTTGATGTCTATGTTATCTTCAATCGATTGCAAACAATTCTCAGGAAGCCGATTTTTGAATTATGATTTTGCTTTTCTTATATTTCCGGTCATATTTTTATTCAGTGAATGCAAAATGTTTCAAGGCCCATAATTTGTGACCTTGACCTTTGGTGACCTTATGACCTGAACAAAAGTTGTTGCCTCTGACGAGATCTGTCCGATGATGTCTTCAGTTGTGCTCTGCAATGTAAACTTCCAGTTTTACAGCCATTTGAAGACAGCAATTTTAAATTTTAAAGAGCTGTGTTGCGTGACCTAATTTACATTTGACAAAATTTCTCATATATTTATTACGGGTTATCTCTTCTTTCCAATGGTATATAACACAGCCTATGACGAAAGCAACACTTATCAAACTTGACTAGGCCTTAGAAAGTCTTAATTATTTCGATGATTCGAATGGGCTTTTTACGAATTTTCTCAAACAATATCAATTATAATAGGCCTAATTAACGGTTTGTGTTTTTTGACAACTTCACTGCCACTGTTCTCTCTCTTTAGAGTTGTTCCCGTTCGCTTCCTAATTAGATCTAATGAAATCCACCAGTAACATCAGTAATACCATATTTTGAAGTAGGATGGATTTAGAAAGTTTGCTTGGATATGTCCATACTCTTTGATAGTAAGAAATTCACAAAAAACCCTTTATGTCATTCAGATTGTTTTGTTTCATTCAGATTGTTATTGTGTCATTCAGTTTTTGTTTCATGCAGATTGTTATTGTGTCATTCAGATTGTTTTTGTTTCATTCAGATTGTTATTGTGTCATTCAGTTTGTTTTTGTTTCATGCAGATTGTTATTGTGTCATTCAGATTGTTTTTGTTTCATTCAGATTGTTATTGTGTCATTCAGATTGTTTTGGTTTCATTCAGCTTGTTATTTCAACTTCTTAAATAATAGATTTCTTAATTATCTAATGTAGGGGTTACAAACGAATGAATTACAATTGTCAAAAGTCTCAAAATATCCCCCATTGTGGTAATTACCCCCCGGGTTGAAAACCTCTGATCTAATGGTTACTATAGTGTATCTCATCATGTTATTGTCCTCCATTCATATTCTTATTATAACATGCTGAAAATTGACTATTGATACTTTCAGTATTTGGAATTAAAACAACATCAAGCTGCTATTCAAGCATGGAGAAATGCCACTATATTAAAGCCAACACATGTAAATGCCTGGACAAATACTCTTATACTCTTAGACAATATTGGTAAGCTAGTACTAGACAATGTCCGTAGGTTTTAATATTATTTTACTACTAAACACTGTTGGTAAGTTTAATATTATTTTACTCGTAGACAATATTTGTAAGTTTTATATTCTTGTACAACTAGACAATAATAGTAAGTTTAATATTATTTTACTACTTAACACTTTTGGTAAATTTAATACTCTGTAGACAATATTGGTAAGTTTTATATTCTGTACGACTAGACAATAATGGTAAGTTTAATTACTCATATACTACAAGACAATACCGGTAAGTTCAATACTCGAATATCGCTAGGTAATATTAATAAGTTTTATATCCTTATACTACTAGACAGTATAAGTAAGTTTAATATTCTTATACTACTAAACAACAGTGGTATGTTTAATACTCTTATTCTATTAGACAATATTACTAAGTTTAACACTCTTATACTACTAGACAATATTAGTACGTTTAACGCCTTACATTACTAAACAATATTAGTAGGTTTAACATTACACTACTAAACAATATTAGTAAATTTAACACCTTACACTACTAAACTATATTAGCAAGGTTAATACTCTCATACTGCTAGGCAATATTAGTAAGTTTAATATTCTGATACTACTAGACAATATTGGTATTGGTAAATTTAATATTCTGATACTACTGGACAATGTTGGTATTGGTAAATTTAATATTCTTATACTACTAGACAATGTTGGTATTGGTAAATCTAATATTCTGATACTACTAGACAATGTTGGTATTGGTAAATTTGATATTCTGATACTACTAGACAATATTGGTATTGGTAAATTTAATATTCTGATACTACTAGAAAATGTTGGTAATGGTAAATTTAATATTCTTATACTACTAGACAATGTTGGTAATGGTAAATTTAATATTCTGATACTACTAGACAATATTGGTATTGGTAAATTTAATATTCTGATACTACTAGACAATATTGGTATTGGTAAATTTAATATTCTGATACTACTAGACAATATTGGTATTGGTAAATTTAATATTCTGATACTACTAGACAATGTTGGTATTGGTAAATTTAATATTCTGATACTACTAGACAATGTTGGTATTGGTAACTTTAATATTCTGATACTACTAGACAATATTGGTATTGGTAAATTTAATATTCTGATAATACTAGACAATATTGGTATTGGTAAATTTAATATTCTGATACTACTAGACAATGTTGGTATTGGTAAATTTAATATGCTGATACTACTAGACAATGTTGGTATTGGTAAATTTAATATTCTGATACTACTAGACAATATTGGTATTGGTAAATTTAATATTCTGATAATACTAGACAATATTGGTATTGGTAAATTTAATATTCTGATACTACTAGACAATGTTGGTATTGGTAAATTTAATATTCTTATACTACTAGACAATGTTGGTAATGGTAAATTTAATATTCTTATACTACTAGACAATGTTGGTAAAGAAAATATTCTTATACTTATACGATGTTTTTTTTCCAATTTCATAGCAATATCAAACTTCCAAAAGAAAGATTTAATTTCAAAACAATATGAACATTCATTTCAATGCAGTGGAGGTACATAACTTAGTATTGAATTTGCTTAAACTGGAAATTGTTTTCAAAGCTTATATATATTTTCCTATTCATTGACATCTCTATTCCAGGTGAATTGAAACTGGCTGAAAATGTTGGTAAAGAAGCCTTAAAAGTGTTACCAAGGGAACATCAAGTGTTATTTAATCTAGCTAATATCTATGGTAAACTAGAAAAATATACTGAAAGTGAACAGTTCTTTTTATTGGCTTTAAAAGAAGATCAAAATAATGCTAAATATCACCTGAATATAGGTAAGTATTAGAACTGCCGTTGGGGCTTCAGTTGACAATATTACTTGCCCAAAATGCTCTTTCCTGGACTAAATCAGCCTTTTGAAGGTAAAATAATTGGAGATCAATTTTATTGGTACTTTGACATGACCAAGGCATTTTAAACCTATTTACCTCTCTTATCTGTATAAATCTTTAAGAAAATATTTTTTTTTATTCCATTCCCATTGCTCAACAGTTAACTTATAGTTATTATTTATGAGGATTGATTTAGGACCTGAATCTTATTTTCTTTCTCATAGAATGTCCAGCTTGTTTCAAAAATCAACATTACAGTTATATGACTCACACATACCGATTTATACTGAAATACTGTTTTTCATATATAATTTTTTTTTTCAAAAAGTGTTTTTTTTACACCCACATGGAAATGTATAATAAATAATAAAACTTGACATCAAATACCATCCTTTAATACCCAACATTTCGTCAACAAAATTTTGACTTCATCTGGGGAAGAAACAAACTACAAATGGTGGAAGACAGTTAAGATTAAAATTACAATATGACCTCATAAGGTTTATGACATCACAATCTTAGAAACCACATAACAAGTGAAGGGTCAAGTCACAAAATGGTGGGAGTCAAATTGATTCTTGATAATATGACCTCAGACCTAAGTCTGCAACATACAACTTAAAGAATGCTATTAGTTTCTTCTGCACTGGTATTCTGTTAAAACATTCATTATATCTGAAGGTCTTGATGCTTTGAAAGATGCTCTAGAGAAAAGAAAAACACCAGTGCAATTCTACATGTTCCAGACTTTTTTTTCTGCTCAACAATGAATTTGAATTCAATGTGAACTTTAATGGGAACAGATATCTGGGACATCTATGATGACACCTTTTGCAGTTATATATGCCAATATCTATATGACCTATCGGATGAATAAATTTTGGAATTCTTTACCTTAAAAACCAGAAATATCCTGTAGATTTATTGATGACATTTGGGCTAGTGTTGAAACGGTAAATCAGAAACTGATTTCGGTAGAATTTCATGTGTAACAAGGTCTGATTTCAGATAATCGGTTAACTGTCAATTATATCACAAGTTTTGAAAGAATGCAAGTCGCCAGTTTATTAATCTTTAAACTCTTTTTTTTCTCAAGTTAATAAACATCTGAACTCATGTTGTTTTTTTTTTTGATTGAATAATTCAATCAATCGAGAGGTTTATCGTAATTGTGTTTAAATTATCATCAACGGGTGTTGCGAGAATTACATTGATTTTTGTGGTCAAAATTATCGAGCCTAAAACAGAAAATTTGCGAGACACTGATCCAAACTTTTTGAACAGGTGCATCATGTTATTAAGCCGGTGACCCAGATAAGATTCTTCTTCATGTTTAAGAAAGCCACTGATAATTATTCGACCAAACATTTCATGGCTGAATCTTTCTTCATAGGGCTTGGTGCAGCGCTTCGCAGGACGATCAGACATTGTAACAATGATAGCTTGATAATTGTGATTAAAGACGAAAAACCTAGCAGCTGCCATCTCGGAATATGAAGAATTTGTAGTAAGAAAGAGTGGGAAAACGATTGATTATTTCAATTTGCTAAACATCTGAAGAGTTCGGGATATAAAGACCAAATTGTAGAAACTGCCTTTAGCAAAGCAAAGGAAAGATTACACCTTGATCTCATCAAAAAGTCTTCTGTGATTGGTTATTATTGTTTTTATACACCCACAAATATATTTTGGGTCTATTTTGTAATCACTCTGGCGGTTCGTTCACATTTGGCTCATGCTCACTCTACAGGCAACAATTCTTTAAGGATTCTTATGATTTTTATTCTTTGTTGGTCAATGTCATTATGAAGATGATCCCTGTTAATTTGTCACAGAAGTTTCGTGTCCGACTTAGCGTTTTCACTCTAATAGCTATATTTTCTTGAAGTATTCTTTTGATTTTTGTTTGTTTGTAAATATATCGAATTTTTGTCATAAGATTGATATTTGGGTAAAGAATTGATTTAATATTTTGCAGTGTGTTCAATATTCACAATTCTTTATCTTTCAGATACATCTATTTTTTTACACAATCTACTGTCTATTTGCAAGAATCAAGACATGTTAAAGATTAGCCATGGTGCGATACAATAAAGTTTGCTTAAAATTCTCTGTAGACTAAACACGAACCAAATGTGAATGGACAATGATATGTACTTGCAATCAAAGCTGCTGGTGAGCGTATGGCACCTTTCTTCTCAAGGCTATCATTATCTGATCTTGATGAAACTTGGTGATCAAAGGATTTTGAGTTATTGCCCTTGACTTAGTAATAACACATCAAATTTGGTATGATAGAGGCTACAGTCTTTATTCGATATTGATGAAATTTGGGATGCATGTACATTTTGATGAGATCTCAGTTGAGTTCGAAATTGGTAACAATCAAATGAACGGTTTCTGGGTTATTGCCCTTGACTTGGCCTTGCCTTGTAGGTGCGATAGAGATTACAGTTTGTATCCGATCTTGATGAAACTTGGTATGCATACCAATGTATTTATTGATGAGATCTCGGTCAAGTTTGAAATTGGTATTAATCGGATGACAGAGTTATTGCCTTTAAGTGTACGTTGATGAGTTCTTGTTCACATTTGATTTTTATGGAAATGTGGACGTATGTTGCTGTCGGTATATATTTATGAGATCTTGATGAAACTTGGTATGCATGTATATATTGATGAGATCTCTGTCAATTTTGAAATTGGTAATAATTGGATGAACCATTTCAGAGTTAATGTGCAAAATGCGTCAAATTTGGCTTGAAGGTGTGATAGAATGTACAGTTTTATCTGATCTTGATGAAACTTGGTATGCATGTATGTATTGATGAGATCTCAGTCAAGTTCGAAATTAGTACCAATCTTATGAACGGTTTTGAAGTTATTGCCCTTGGCTTAGTAAAATTTTATTTTGTACACATGATAGAGTATAGTTTTTATCCAATCGTGATGAAATCTTGATACATATATTGATGATATCACGTCAATTTCAAAATTGGTTATAATTGGTTGAACGGTTTCAGAGTAATTGCCCTTGGCTTTGTAGAAACGTGTCAAATTTGACTTGTAGGTGTGATAGAGTCTACAGTTTTTATCCGATCATAATGAAACTCGTTATGCATTTATATATTGATGAGATCAAAATTAGTAATAATTGGATGAACGGTTTTAGAGTTATATTGCTGTTGTATGTTCGTCGATGAGACCTTGTTTATGTTTGAAATGACAATTTAATGAATTGTTTTTGAGGTTTTGCCTTGACTTATGATTATTTGAAAATTTATTATCAAGCCACTAAAGATTTTGTTATCGTTTCTGACAGCAGATAGTGGGAGTACCTCGACTGGCAACCTACCTTTCATATCCATTGAAATAGACGTATGTGCAAGTCATAAGTTTTGTTAAAAAAGTGGTGGAGCTTCAGCCGTGCAATAACATCAAATTGGACAGGTTGTAGCACACCTAGGTTCCACCTATTTTCCTCTAAGATTCTTTGTGGCTTTCATGTTAAGTTATCCAAGTTTGGAACAACAACAAATTGCTGATAATAGACCATGGTTTTCCTTGAACACATATTTAAGCAAATTTTTTATTAAAAGCATCTTGATCCAGTCAAAAATATTGAATTGGCTTTGATTTTGATAAAATTATTAAATTATTTTCAGGTGTTTTGTATCACAGATGGGGAAAATATGACAAAGCAGAAGAAGCATATCAAACAGCATTACAACTCAACCCTTCCAATAAAGTCACCCAAGATAATATAGCTATGCTACAGAGGCAACGAAACAAGTGATCTCATCTTGGTAACAAATACAAATATAGCCAGGCTCTTGTTTCTGTGAACCCCCTTGCTACCATGAACGCTGTTGTTACTATGAATTTTTCCAAATCGTGGATTTTATAGCAGAATTAGCCTTTTGCCACTTTTTGGAACCATGAATATTTGCTGCTTTTTCGTAAATCCGTAAATTAATAATTTGCTACTCTCCCAAATCCATGGTTTTTATAACGATTTATTTTGCCATTGTTTGCTGACCATTCAAGTAAAATATCTTCCTAAGAATTGAGCAGGGGGTATTGAAATTTTGTCACTTTGTTTTAACAATGAAATTTAAAAGGAATTTTGCCAGGTCTTTTAGCCATCTTTTGGTTTTTATTTAGTTTTTAATTGATTTTATTATTGGTTTAAAGCAATTAGGTATACAATTTTATATAATAGTATATTTCTTAAGAATCAAATAAAGAAAACTGCCAAATCAATATTTTGAGAACACAATTTTTAAGTGTTTGAGAATCACATTTTAAAAAGATTTAATTCTTCAATTGGTTTTAAAAAGCATCAGATCAAGAGCTTAGTTACATCTGACATCACATCTTCAAATCTGACATCACATCTTCAAATCTGACACCATTTCTTTAGATCTGACATCATTTCTTTTCTGACATCATTTCTTCAAATCTGACATCATTTCTATAAATTTTACATCTCTAAGACATTCAATTATAAACTACATATATTGTCTGTCCGTCCACAATTGACTTCTGAACACAATAGAGACTACAGCTTTTATTGCAATGCGTTCTTTGAAGTGCCTTGTTTTGCAAATGACCATTTTTCCGATTCTGGTCATTCTGGTTCGATCGACGGAATTTGAGTTATTGCCCTTGACTTAGTAAAAACTCATCAAAATTTGTTGGTGATAGAGGTGACAGTTTATGTCAGAATTTTATTAGATAATGTGTATTTGTTTAAATCAACAATATTTGATTTTTTAATTTTTATTTTGCTTTTTAGTTAATTCCGGTTGTTTTTTTTTCAATATTGTTTAAAAATTTTAAAGCTCATATCTCATGACCTTAAACTTTGGTGACCTTATTACCAGAACAAAAGTTGTTGCTCTTGGCGAGATCTATCAACAACGTTAACTTCCAGTTCTACAGACATTTGAAAATTGCAATTTTTAACTTTGAAGAGCTCTGTCACGTGACCCAATTGGTATTTTGATCAAAATTTTCCTTTTTAAAATTTTGTAACAACTTCACACTTACATAATCTGATTGAAATATTTTATATCTCGCAAAGACTGCGATTGCCAACCTTTAAACTTTGCATCAAAATAGGACACTAGTTTGGTCAGTTCCTGATAATGACACAGTTTTCTGGGTTTTATATTTCAAAAAAAGGAATGGGTTTACAAATTTACAAAATTTTAGTTTTTGACCTTGACAAAAGTTACTGTGCTTGACGAGACCTTTCCAAAAATATTTTCATTTTTGTTTTGCAATTTTAACTTTACACTTATTTGAAAATTCGACTTTCTACCACCGAATGTTAACCGAATCAAATTCATGCGTCTCTTCACTACCGAACGTTAAATGGTTTAAACGATATTTTTAATATTGAATGTTTACATGCTATTCTTAAGAAATCCCATTGTGACTTTAAAATGCAATGTTTGACAGATGTATCAGGTTGGATGTGCACTGCTTTGGTACCGTGGCACGGCTCTAGTTTGATTTTAATTAAATTTGGTATGATCATTTATATTGATGAGATCTTGGACAAGTTTGAATATAGCCCCAATGGCTTCGATGCCAATTTGCCACTGAAGCACCTCACATTGATCTAAAGTTTTACAATTCATGTCTGAAATACATTGCTCTAAGTTCTCTGAAGAGGCATCTCTGGTATCTCGGTGAAGAAAGAATACCTCTCGCTCTGTTCAATGAAAGAGTGATCTCAGATCAACGTCAGACAATCATCAATAGATTATGTAATTTAGAGGACATTTGCTTTTAAACTGATAAATTGTTCAGGTAGACCTGGAATTGTAATGGAGGATACAACACTCGCTGATCTCATGACAGGGGATTCATTTCAAGTGAAATATATAGGTATTGTTTTCAAATAAGCCTTAGTTGAAATTGTTCTGTTCATGTAACGAATTTGGTTAATTTTTGCTATTTTTTCCAGTTACTCGTGGACCCAGTAGGTCTTCTTTGATTCAATTGATATTTTGTATGATCTATTCATTCTTTAGGGAGAACATGTTTGGACCATCGCCATTTGGATTTTCTCAAAATTGCAACACACACTGTGTTCTGTATATTCAGGCCTTTAGGCAACCTATAAGACTATAGAAATTAAAATGAATAGAGTTTTACATCTTCTGCATCTAATTGGGCCAACGAAGATGGGCAACGCCATGTAGTAGTGTGCATTGACATAAACTTTTGCCAGGACAATGTCATGTCTTTTTTTCGATTTCCAACTGTGGAGGGATCTTTATTTGAGATAGGTTAAAATCAAATACTAATCTTGTTTGATAAGATTCTGTCAAAAATATTTCAACAGATCGTAAGTTACATGATTTTAAGTTCTATACTGTATGATCTTCATATGACTATTGCAATTCTGACTGAAATCTGACCGGCAATCTTTTTCAGATAACTTTTTATTGATTTACCAGGAAATTTTATATCAATATTTTTTATTATTCAAAAATATTTTGATATTTCATATTTTCATATTTTTATATGTTTTAGTATAATATTTTTTTATATGGCTATTTAAAAAAAAGAAATTGTAGCAAATGTTCAATCAAATATGAATGGAAAATATATAACCAAATTAACAAGTGATATTTTATTATTGTACATAATCATTTATGTACATAGAATCTTATAGGCTATTGCTTAATTGATATGTGTAATAATTCTGCTATCTTGCTTGTTATTTTATGCAAATCAAAAGTTCATTTGTATCAGGGACACTGATATCATCAATTTGCACCATTCCAATTTTCAATCAGACCTTTGTGGTTCCTGCAATTCACGAAGGGCCTTGTGTGATATAGCATATTTTGTGATTAGTTATGTCATCTAACAGTATGATATATGTACATATCTTTGTGGTTTGATAAGGGTCTGTTAATGTAAATTAAGGTGTTGTCGCATAGTACTTAAATGATACATTCCAATTTCACTACTGCATGTTTTAGGTACAATAACTTATGTATGGTTGTCAAGGAACAGTTTTGAAATGAACAAAATATGACACATTCCAATGAAAAACCTGATATTCAGAAAATGTATACATTCAAATAATAAAAAAAAATTATTGTTAATAAAAATCTACAAAAAATTATGATTTAGCAGTATTTTTTTCAAAAAATTGCCTGGAAATTTGATCAAAATTGCTAACCAAATATCTATTAGTTCAAAACATTCTATTTTGTTAGTTTAAAACTTAAAGGAATACTACCTCTTAGCAAGTCAGTTGGACTTACTAGGTGTCATGACTAAAGACTAGAATCTCCAAATCCTTTAAACTAAGTACTTATAGGAAAATGCTTCTAAACATGTTTCAAAATTACTTGGATTTATCGGATTATAGAGGGATTCTGTCGTACAGTTATGACAACAGTCCAATGATGAACAAATACTCATTTTGGCCAAGCTAAAAAAGGTTGACTATTTTCACTATACAGATATCCTGCCGTTTTATATGTCTGTATGTCTGTCGGTCCGTCCGTCCGTCAGTACATACACAATTGGCTTGTGAATACAATAGAGACTACAGTTTTTATCTGATTGATTTGTAATAAAATTTGGGGTGATCATTTATAAGGTCGAATTTGACGATTTTGTGATGATTGGTTATTGCCCTTGACTTAGTAAAATTTGTTTGTGAACACGATAGAAACTACAGTTTTAATCTTATTTAAATGAAATTCATATTGATGAGATATTGGTTTGAATTTGACAATTTTGTTATCATTTATATTGATAAGATCTTGGTCAAGTCGAATTTAATGATTTTTCGTTGAACAGATTTTGAGTTATTGCTTTAGTAAAAGATACCTTGCCAGGCAAGGTGACATATGCACACTGTCAGCTGTCAGAGATGATAACTAAATCTTTATTGACCAAAAATATAGTAAAGATCTTCATAATAATACCAAATATCTCATATTGAAGATCTTCATTATGCATTTGTAGTTACAAAAAAACGGCGAATGTCTCATCAATTGAGGTGTAAGATGCACATTTATCATTACTTTCGTTTTCTTAGTAATTTGTAATTTTTGATTCCCAAGTTTGTGGAAATTTAGCCATATGGTTTAGTTAGTCTTTATCTTCCAGTCACTGTTGTAACCGGGTTAGCTCGGGGGAACACTTTAATAAAACCCTGTAATAATAATAATTTACAGTTAGATATATGATACAAATATACAACAATATATCTTAATAATATGTATTTTTATACGCCCACATGAATATGTGGTCGTATATTGTCGTCGCCCCTGTCCGTCGGTCCATCGGTCCATCGGTCCATCGGTCGGTCGGTCCATCGGTCCGTCGGTCAACATTTCTTGTGAGCACTATAGAGACTACAGTTTTTATCTGATTTTGATAAAACTTGGTGTGATGCTTTAGATTGATAAGATCTCGGTCAAGTTCGAATTTGACATATTTTCGATGAACGGTTTTTGAAACATTGCCCTTGACTTAAAACGCCTTGAAATTTGTTAAAAATTGTTCGTGAGCAGGATTGAAGCTACAGTTTTCATCCGATTCTGATGAAACTTGGTGTGATCATTGGAATTCATAAGATCTCGGACAAGTTCTAACTTGACGCATTTTCGATGAACGGTTTTTGAGTTATTTCCCTTGACTTTGTTAAAACGCGTCGAAATTTGTTAAAAATAGTTCGTGAGCAGGATTGAAGCTACAGTTTTCAACCGATTCTAATGAAACTTGGTGTGATCATTGGAATTGATAAGATCTCGG